CAGTTTAATTAAAAATTAATGCACCACGGAAATATATATCCTTGCCTAGTCTACAGTTTTATTATATTATTTATTATATTATTATTATTGTATTCAAATCAGACTCTAACTGTAAGACAAGGTGCCTTTTGAAAATGTGTTTATATCGAAACAAACAGACGATTGCCAAAACATAGGTACCTCGATTGAGTCTTCAACTACATTGTCGTAAATAGAGTAATGTTATTCATACAATACTGATTATAAGACGTTTATTCTTCATTGCTTTACCAACACGTATTTTATATTCATTTTGAAACGCAGAAAGGAGTAATGCCTTCTCATTTTATAACAATCACTTTGACGATATTATTATACCCCCGCTTGAAAAGCGGGGGTGTATAGTGATGGGGTGTCCGTGCGTCCGTCTGTACGTCGTCCGTCCGTTACGCTTTGGGGTACCCATCTCTTATCCACAACTCCTCTTATACCACTGAATAAAATTTAATGAAACTTTCACAGAATCTTTGTTACATGGTGTCATTGTGCACCTCCTATCTTATTCTCTGATAGGAAGCATATTTCGGGTTTCCCATATCAAAACATAGACATCCCCATTCTTTCTAAAATATGGAGGGTGTCCATTTCTTATCCACACTTCTTCCTATACCACTGAATAATATTTAATGATACTTTCATAGAATCTTGATTACATAGTGCCATTGTGACCTCCTACTTTATGATTTGAAAGGAAAGAAATTCGGGCTTTCCCGCTTTATCAAAAAATGGAATTTGCCATTATACTCATATGGTAAGCCCAAGGGTATAATTTTGCGAGCTCAGTGCTCACAGTACCTCTAGTTGTTACATATGAACATTTGAATTTTACCAAGAGTTAAGAAACCCACTTTTGTATAATAAAATACATCCTGGTAAATGTCTGAGTATCTCTTCAGATTTAAAAAGTTATTTAAAAAAAACAAGTCCCATCTAGGACCCGGGCACACTGCTAATAAAAAATAAAGTTCAAGGTTATTCGTCTGCAAAAAGCTCTTACTGTACTCTACAATCAACAGGGACAAGTTGTTTTGTGTATAAATTAGTTGTAAATTGCTTCCAGAGAATGAGATAAGAGATAGGAGGATGTTCTTACACTTTAAGCCCATGTTATTTTGCTGATATTTTTTTCGCTTATCATTCAAGTAAAATGAAATGACAAGTTAAACGTAAAAAGTAAACATTCCAAGTAAAACCGTGTTGTTGCTTTCAGCGCTCCATTCTTGACAACTTGTGGAGCACTAGGACAATGTCACTTCAGTATGATCAGGTGGGTTTTAAAACCATGATATTTGATTTCGAAAATTTCGGAAATTGAACTTAATATAAGCATGGTCTCCAGATTTGTGTTTGCAAAGTCGGATCTGTGATGTAAAGATCGACAAAAATTATAAAGAGCTTAACGTAGGTCGCGGGTTTGCTGACGTCGTTAAAACTGAGTACGCAATTTATATGATTTGTGCGACTTTCTTGTGCACATTTGATTATGACGTCACAATGAGTAAGACATTTTTTTAACTTTTCAGTACAACAAACTGAAGTCACAGATTGAAAACTTTTTTGCGATTTTTTTAATGTTCGAAAATCGAAAGCGTTAGAAAGCGTTTATTTATCATCACATTAAGACCACAACAGTATCACGAAAAGATACGGAGCAACTGAAAAAGTGTCAACTGCATGATTATTTTTTTTCTTTTGACGTATTTTAATAAAAAGTTTGTTACACTGATAAACCGTCTTTATATAAACAACCGCAGTTACAACTATTATGTCAAAAGTTTAAACTTTATTTTTAAAAAGGAAATTTTAAAAATACATGTACATCTATATCATAATTGAAAAACTGCTCAGGTATGAAGTTGTTTCGCCTGATTAAAAAAGATCGCTGGCAGACTTACATTGTATGAGGAATTCGTGCTGAAGAAGATATTAATTCGGTAGGAATCTGAGGAGGGGCGTGCCCCCATAATTTTTTCAATGTATATAAATTACTTTAGAAAATCGAGCTATTTTACAGTTGTTGTCCCCCTCGATAATATTACCAGTACATGAAAATATGATACATATTAGAAAACAGAGCTAATTTGCGGTTGTGTCCCATCAAGAATGTCTGCTTCAGGCCCGTAGAAAGCGGGAGCTGGGGGGGGGGGGGGGTCCCCCAACTTTTTTCTGAGTATAGTATTTTTCCTATAGATGCATGGTGGTTGCCCCATCCCCCACACGTTTTGTTGCTGTTATGTCGAGCCTGGCAAATCCAGGATTTGGACAGCTTATTAGTTTTTTTTTAGGTTGCCCCCCCCTTATTGAAACCATTGCTACGGGTCTATACTTTTCTGTATCTGTTAGGTTGCCCCCCCCCCCAACTAAAAATTGCATCCTTTGTTCCTAGCTGTGTATCTTAGTATCTTTAAAAAAAAGCTCATCAAAGACTAAATTCTTTAAACTATTACCGGTATAACACCATGTTTTGCAAATACTTTGACAATATCGAACGGTGTCGAGAATGAAAAATCGGACGCTCAAAAAATGACAAAAATTGAAAATATTCGCTCCCCATTCTTTAAGTAAAAAGTCTCTGAATCACGCTAGGAGTACTGTTCCTGTAAGCCCCCCCAGCCTTCTCTCTCTCTTTCTTTCTCTCTCTCTCTCTTAGTTACAGCTTAAACAAGGTGTTTCAGACAAGATACATTGTTACATAACTCATACATCTGTGCTTATTTTAAATACAAATTTTACATTTAATATATATATAAACATAAATTTCTTTCTTCTTTTTTGTATTTCTGCACTTTATACCGGACCGTATTCACGACGTCATGCGTGACGTCGCCATAGTTTATAGCGTCATTCTTAAAAATGCTACATTTTGCAATGTAAAAGCAATTATTCGCATATAAATTACGAGAAAACTAACTCGAAGACATACTAATTTTTTTACATAGATTTATCTGAAATCATCTCGGGGTGAAATGACCCAAAGGGAAACAATTTCGTCTGCACCATTTAAAAGTTACTGAGATTTTTTGAAAAGAAATCTTTCCTGAAAACGAGTCAAAAATGATGTTTTCCCTATAGAATTCAATAGAATAACGACGAAAATATTACGACAACAATGACATGTTTGAGATTTAATAACGCAAAAACGATGCAGACGAATTTTATAAAATTTTCAGAGAATGTACAACAAAAGTAGGAGATTCATATATGTAATTTTCATGGTATGGTTTCGAGCAATTTTAAAAGGTCACCAACCCCGCGACCTACGTTAACTGGTATTTTCACAATGAAATATGGAGATAACGAACAGTTATCAAGCTCAAAAGATCATTGAAACAATACAAATAGGGAGCAGAGCAAATATGGAGCTCTAAAACATTAGAGCTGGGATCAGGTGCCATGGAGGAGTAAGCATCCCCTGTCGAACGGACAAATCCTCCGTGATCGGGCGTTATTAGACAATTCAGGATGTAAACTAGAGGAACTGTGAGCACTGAGCTCACAAAATGATACCCCCGCCTCCCATATGTTTATAATGGCAAAGTCCATGATTTGCTGTGTGAGACCCAAAATAAGTGTACGCTCAAAAAGTAAAATAGGAGGTGCACAATGCCACTATGTAACAAAGATTCTATGAAAGTATCATATTTTATCCAGTGGTATAGGAGTTGCGCATAAGAGATGGGTACCCATCGATATTATTGAAAGAACGACAGTGTTCTGTGTTGTCTATTGGAAATCCGAAATGTGTGTCCGATCAAAAAGTAAAATAGGAAGTACATGATGGCATTATGTACCAAAGATTCTGTGAAAGTCTCATTAAATTTTACTCAGTGGAATAGGAAGAGTTGTGGATAAGAGATGGGCATCCCTAAATATTATAGAAAGAATGGCAGTGTCTATGTTTTGCTATTGGAAACCCAACAGATGTGTCCGATCAAAAAGTAAAATAGGAGGTGCACAATGGCACTATGTAACAAAGATTCTGTGAAAGTCTAATTTTATTCAGTGATATAAGAGAAGTTGCAGATAAGAGATATTTAACAGACGGACGGATAGGCGGACGAACGGACACCCCCATTACTATACACCCCCGCTGTTCATGCGGGGGGGGGGGGGGTATAATAATGGCCTAACAATTTGTATGAAAAACGTCAGTCAGTTTTCTACTTAATGACAGATTGTATTTGCTGATTAGGTCATTGTGTCGACCATAGAACTTGCGAAATGTTGACTTCAAAAGAGACTGTAGATATCCTTGTTTCCTCAACTTATCTGTCAATAGCTTGCCTCGTTCTTGACATTTTTCATACGTAGAACATACTCTTGCTTATCAAATCAACTGTAAGATATAAACTCCATATGCAGATGATAAGGGAATAATACTGCATAAAAAAGGGAAGTTGATGATAGGAAAGCTGAAGTCATCCCGTTTATCATAAAATTTTCTTGATAGGTACCATTTAGTCTCTTTTCTAGTAAAATATCTAAATATGAAACAGATGTGTCACACTCTATGGTATCTTTTTTTTCAAGTTCACTGGGATATATATTGAGTTGACATATGATGGAAGAAATGAAATATAGAGAAAACGAGCAGTATTCAAGCTCAAAGTCCATTTAAACAATACAAATTGGGAGCAGAGCAAACGGACCTTCAAAAACATCAGAGATGGGATCAGGTGCCATGGAAGGCCAACTATTGCTAATTCACATCTCAGTAATTTAACCAACAATTTAACTTTTGTTAATTAATAATACGTCGTTGATATATCTAAATGTCGAATTGCAGGCCACAGCAAGTGTTTTTGAATAAATTCTGCTGCAGGTGAATATAAAAATGGGTCTGCTAATAGCGGGCACTATAGGTACCCATGGAAATAAAACAAACGGCGTGAATATAATTCTTATTCCTAAATTAGTTGACGATTTAAGACTGGTTAAATTGACATTTGTAAAAGTAATATTTATTTCAAATACTTGAGTTTCATTATTTCTCCACTTTTCTTTTTATAGTCAGCAACAAAGAGATTATCCTCTACATCTATACACAGTCCCCGAGGTTTAACCATTCCACAGTCTATATAACGGAGGAACTGACCATCCCGGTCAATGATATGAACGCACTTATTCATTTCGTCAGCTATAAGTATGTGACTAAGGATGTCTGAAATGATTCCTCGGGGAGTAAATTTTTGATTCCATTTTGGAGAAGGGTTATGCCCAGAGTACCTGAATCTCAATTTCCCTGCTTGATTAACCACTACAACAACTTCACCATCAGCCACACAGATATCCAGGTTCCTGTTTTCAGTGATGTATTTTATCCTGTCATAATAGCTAGTACATGGATATAGAGGTTTACCTTCCTCATCGAGCTGAATGGTTTGTTTCTCTATGAAATCAGAAAAACGGACAACTTTTGTCTGAAATTGGTTGCTATCACGCATGGTTGCCAGGAAGTCACCAGTTTTTCTATCATAATCCATGATTACCAGGAGGTCATCAGAGGAAGTGCTACAAACACCTTGAGGTTTCCAATTATGTAACTCGATCGTGTGTGGTACTTCCTTCTTGTCAATGTTTACTTTTTTCCCCTGCGGATGGCAATAAACTAGATCTCCATTTCGTGTCACTGCTATGTGTAAAGGACCTGAGAAAAAACATTCTATCTTGACATGAAATGACCTAATTAGTGACTCGTGATACGATTTCTGATTGATGCTGAAGAGTTGAATGACACTGTAGTCGCCACTTGCCCAAATTTCTGCATTATTTAGACAGACAATATTTTGGAGAAATGTGAACCCAGTGTTTATAGTGGTCATGGTCTCTGGTTTATCAAGTAGTTGTTTGGCTGGAGGACAGGGCGTGGTTTCTGCAATTTGCTTAGCCATATTTGAGTTGTAGACATGGTCGTCTTTTGTCAAGGACAACGTTCCAAAAAGTTTCAGAATCTGATCTTGTTGAATTTCTTTTGGCGAAAATGATGGTAAAGAAATATCAATGTGAGGTGAACTTTTTTGTAATGTGGATACTTTACTTTTATATTGAAAAAGCAAAGACATATCATTAGATTGAAGAATTTCTTCAGACGAATTCAAGTAAGAATCAATATTTGAAATATCCCGTATTATTTCTTCCCTGTGATTTTTTATAATTTTCACATGTGCATTTTTTATCTCAGCGAGTTCAGTTTGAAGTTGATTGACAACTTTATCAATTTTTCTGTGCCAGTCGTCTCCTAATTTCCTTATAGATTCAGAAATTTCTTTGCATTTCGTTTCTAGTCTATCCATCTTCATTTGTACATCTGCCACGATACCATCGTAAGTTGGAGAAATGTTCGCTTTTATTTTCCCAATGTCTTGTTGTATTTCTTTCCTTTTGGACGAATACATTTCACGAAGTAGAGATATTTTGTGACTTACATGTTTTTCAGATGCAACACATGCACTACATATCGGAATGTCACAATGTTTACAGTACATTTCACATCGTTCATTGGGGTGTAATTTACATCCAGGGTAGAGAGGAGTGGACTTTCTAGACTGAAATTTGACGACTTGATGATTTTTGGATTCATCAGAAATCATGTGTTTTCCTACGCAAGCTGTGCACAGGTTGACAAGGCATGTATCACAGTGCATCTGTACCACAGCAGTCTTACAAACGTCACAACGCATCATCAACGCAACATTTCTTTCCATTTTTTTTAATTAATACAAGTGATCTGCAAGCAAAAATAGAAGAACATGCATTTAAAAAAAAAGAAAGATATGTGGAAAATCTACTTTTCATTTGTTGTATTTTCACATTATGCTTATCAAGATTTTCCTTATAATTTTTAGCTCACCTGAGCTGAAAGTACAAGTGAGCTTTTCTGATCACATTTTGTCTGTAGTCCGTCTGTCTGTCCATCTGTCTGTAAACTTTTCACATTTTCGACTTCTTCTCCAGAACCACTGGGCCAATTTCAACCAAACTTTCCACAAAGCATCCTTGGGTAAAGGGGGTTCAAGTTTGTTCAAATGAAGGGCTATGCCCTCTTCCAAGGGGATATAATTAAGAATAAGTGAAAAATTAATAGCATCTTTTAAAAATCTTCTTTTCAAGAACCACAGGGCCAGGAAAGATGAAACTCATGTGGAGGCATCCTCAGGTAGTGAAGATTCATGTTTGTTCAAATCATGACCCCCGGGGGTAGGGCGGGGCCACAATAAACAATCAAAGTTTTACATAGAAATATATAGGAAAAATCTTTAAAAATCTTCTTCTAAAGAACAGCAATGCCTTGATTGGTCATATTTATATGGAAGCATCCTCAGGCAGTGTAGATTCAAGTTTGTTCAAATCATGACCCCCAGGGGTAGGTTGGGGCCACAATGGAGGATCAAAGTTTTACATAGAAATATATAGGGAAAACTTTAAAAATCTTCTTCTCAAGAACAGCAAAGCCATGATGAGTCTTATTTATATGGAAGCATCCTCAGGTAGTGTAGATGCAAGTTTGTTCAAATCATCACCCCCTGGGGTAGGATAGGGCCACAATGGAGGAAGTTTTACATAGAAATATATAGAAAAAATCTTTAAAAATCTTCTTCTAAAGAACAGCAAAGCCCTGATTGGTCATATTTATATGTAAGCATCCTCAGGTAGTGTAGATTCAAGTTTGTTCAAATCATGACCCCCTGAGGTAGGGTGGGCCCACAATGGAGGATCAAAGTTTTACATATAAATATATAAGAAAAATCTTTAAAAATCTTCTAAAGAACAGCAAAGCCCTGATTGGTCATATTTATATGGAAGCATCCTTAGGCAGTGAAGACTCAAGTTTGTTCAAATCATGACCACTGTGGGTAGGTTGGGGCCACAATGGAGGATCAAAGTTTTACATAGAAATATATAGGAAAAATCTTCAAAAATCTTCTTCTCAGGAACAGTAAAGCCAGGATAAGTCATATTAATATGGAAGCATCCTCAGGTAGTGTAAATTGAATTTTGTTAAAATGATGACCCCCGGGGATAGGGTGGGTCCACAATGGGGGATCAAAAATTTTCCATAGGAACATATAGGAAAATATCATATCTTCTTCTCCAGAACAGAAAATCATGTTTAGTCATTTTGATATAGAAGCATCCTCAGGTAGTATAGATTTAATTTTGTTAAAATGATGAACTCGGCGGGGGATGGGGGGCACAATGGAGGATCAAAAGTTTTACATAAGAACATATAGAAAAAATTCTTCTCAAGAACAGAAAAGATATTTTTAGTCATATTGATATGGAAGCATCATCAGGTAGTGTAGACTCAAGTTTGTTCAAATGATAATCCCTGGGATAGGGAGGAGCCACAATGGGGATCACATTTTTACAAAGGAATATATAGGAAATATTTTTTTAAATCTTCTCAAGTTCAACAAAGCCATTTGTTATATTGACATGGAAATACCATCAAGTAGTTTAAAATTCAACCCCAGCCCCGGTAGTAATCTTTTCAATACTGAACTGATTTACTGATTTGTGCTTTTGCCTAGCCAATGTGCTCAGGTGAGTGTTGTGGCCCATGGGCCTCTTGTTTTACATAGCATACATTGGTGGATAATTTGCAATGATAAAAATATTTGCTAAAAAAAGAAAGCTTTTCTAGCGATCTTTGAAAGAAAAAACATTCATCAAAAAAATACATTAAGTATGTTGGGATTATTAGCACTGTCTACACTCAGCGAATGTTTTTTTAACAAAGAGAACTTGATGTTATTGTATGACAAACCCTCACAATAGTGTTTTAGTGTATGTGTACATGTAAATGTATCGTTTTTCTTTTTTTTATCTCAATAGCTTTGTACACTTCACTGATTAAAAAAGCACAAATGCCCTTTGGATGTTTTACTGAATATAATGACAAACTAACACCTTAACTATATGGCAAATGGAATGACTTTTTAAATCATTCCAATATAATAGCAATATCGGTATCTCGTTATCACCTGCAGATGGAGTTTATGTCTCCCAACAGATGCGTGGTCCACAACAGCAAATTCTGTGTATGATCAATTTTAAATCGAGACAGGCTACTGACAAATAAGTTGATGTAACTTGTGTTTCTAAAGTTGCGTATAAAGTCAGCATTTTGCATATTCTGTGGTCGTTACAATGGCCTCGTTGCAAATAAACCCGTTGCTGGATTGAATTTTGCTTGACATGTTTTACATCTATTGCTAGCCATTGTATTTATACTTATTTTGACTACAGCTTATTTCGTTTACCTGATCAATACAGAAGGCTCTCTGCAGGTGTGACCGGTCGACAGGGGATGCTTATTCCTCCTAGGCACCTGATTCCACCTCTGGTGTTCCCAATGTCCGTGTTTTTGTCCTGTTCTCAACTTTGCATTAGATGCCCTACAGGAAGAATCTGAAATACCACCTGTAAGTAACAATCCTAGATGTCGTTATTTTTCCTGAAACAATATACAAAAAAAATACCTTAAATATTTTCAATCTGACAGTATGCAGGGGAGTGGCCTCGGCTGCGTAAGGTTCTGCAAGTCGAGCAGAGGCACCTCCTTGTTGATTAGTACAAGGGATCACGAACATCTTGGGCACCTTGCACCAGAAGAGTGAAGGGGCAAAAGGGTCGGACCGAACCTTGGACGGAAAGGGTCAAGTTGGAATATGTTTGGTCGACGCCTTTCCGTCTAACACCTGCAGGACAAAAACATGAGAGAAAAGTTGGACCAACACAGCTTTTGATGGCAAACACGTAAATATTTTCTTTTTATATCTTGTACACTTGCAGCTTCCAACGGAATAAAACACTATTTTCTTTGAAGTTATGAAATTATATGTACTTTTAAATTTTTCTTTCAGATTATCCCGATGAAGGAGATTGGAAAAGTTTTCGTGTCGTTACAGTCGAACTTCTTTCTTCAGGGCAAATAATGAGGAAACTGTTCACATGTATATTTTATCTATTTCCTTGTATTTATTTTTCTATAATATTTTGTGTTTCATGTACAATGATATAGATCATTGTGTATATATGTTTAACATGTATATTAATATATTTTTTTAACTCGATGTAATTTTCTCCATTTCTTTTGTATATGTAATTACGAGTTGTATGTTCACAAGATGTATTTCTCCCCGTTTTTCGTTTTGTATATGTTGTAACCTACTTCACAGTTAACCTACTCCGAGGACTCAAGATGCATCAACTAACAAAATTCGATAATTCCAACCGAATTAGTACCTGAAATATTTAATATAGCCTAAAAAATTCAAAAGTACGTCGTTGTGACCTACTATTAGGATGTTATAATATTTTAGTTTAAAATTTTTTAAAAGTAGGTCACTCTGACTGTGACCTACTTTTTGACTGGGGTGATAATGAAGGTGTTTGAAGAGATGTGTATGGTGGAAAGAATGTGGAAGAAATTTAAAAGTTTTGAAAACAAATGATTTTTGCCTGTTACCTGAGGAATTGATTTAATGATAAACATTGCTGGATTCCAGCCTTTTAAGAACAGAATGGTTTTTGCAATTTTAAATCTGCCAGGGAGTATTAGGTACAAATTAGAAAATATCATAAAAGTAGGTGTGATACCAGCATTCAGAATAGAGCCAAAGTTGAATTCATCTTCGAACTTATTGTTAAAGAGTTAAGTTGCCTGTGGGAGGGTGATAAATAGGAAACACCATTGTCTAGAATTACATTGACTGTTCACGCAGATTCACTATGCGTCGCTTGTAACATCCCTGCAGCACATAAATGTGGCTTTAAGTCCCATTCATTTTAACAGAAGATATTAGTAGAGCTGACTGCTGCTTTTTTAGCTCACCTCAACGAAGTTGGGGGAGCTTATGTAATACCCTCGGCGTCGGTGTCGGCGTCCCAGGTTAAGGTTTTTGGAGCAGTTTTCTTTTCAAGTACTTCTATGGCCTGTATTAGTCAGAGATGCATGGAGGATGCTTCTAGTATGTTTCATTGTACCAGTCAAGCTTTCAGATGCTGCAATTTCAGCTAAAGAATGACCAGGTTAATGTTTTTGGAGCAGGTTAAAGTTTTTGGAGCAGGTCTCATTTCCAAGTAACTATAAGCCCTATATTGACCAAACTTGCATGGATGCATGAGATGGTGACTTAAGCTCTTCAACATCATCTATGTAAGGGTATGTTAGTTTGACTGTAGTATGTGCTGCTGTCAAATTTGGCAGGTATGATAAAGTTCCTGAGGGTCAGTGAAGAAGACTTGGAGTTATCTGTAAAAACCTCCGATTCTCTTAAAATCAAGAGAAACTTTGTCATAAGGCGCATATGTTGCGAGGCGTAATATTTGGCTTTCTTTTTGTACAAGATATAAAAAGAAAATATTTACGTGTTTGCCATCAAAAGCTGTGTTGGTCCAACTTTTCTCTCATGTATTGAGATTGAACACTGTTCGTTATCTTCACCATCCTTATTATGCATATTAATTGGAAGCGATCACATTCTTGAGGTATACATTTGAAACAGAAAATAATTAATTTAAAGACTTTGTGTTCGAAGGGGCTCGGATCATACAAAGGCCGTAACTACCATTGAGTCGAGTGAGGCAAATGTCTCACTAAAATTTTAGAGTTTTCTGAAAAGCTAATTAAAGTTTGCCTTTGATCTTTCATTAATTATGTGTAACTTTGTACTAA